CTTACAGTTGACAGTTTGCCACTCACTTTTGTTTTACCAATGTAAACCTTAAAATGTTACATTTTTCTGATTAGAACACTCTTGTAACCACATTCCTATTGTTTGCCATCTGCCCCTTTACCCTGTCCCTCTTCATCAGCACCCAGAGTCTATGTCACCTTTCACACGCCAAGTGTTAAATGTTCTCTGCATCATTAGTGCTCGTTATACACCAGATATCACTAACCATTGCACACGCGACAGCCAAGCTGGCACGTGCTCATGCACACATACAGGCGGTCCCCCATTGACACAGATACACAAACACACACCATATCCATGTTCATGAAGTTCTGTTTGAAGATGTGAAGCTGACAGTTCTAGAGAGGGATGGGGTGTCAAGTGTGTCGTGTGTATGTGTGTGCGTGATGGTCAGATAATCTACCGACCGTCTGACTCCAGAGCAGCTGGGAATCCGTTCAGCAGTGCTTGTTTCCTGCGTCCACATTCCCTGCTGTCAGTAGCACAGTAGTAGTTCACTCTCCAAACCTTCATTTTTTCCTACTGAATGCTACATTTGAAGTATGCAGCAGAAATCACTGAATGCTATTTGTGTATGTGTATTCAGATTCCAGTCCAGTGTCTCGCCTGATGACCAGGCCCAGCAGGCAGGGAGACAGCAGCAGTTTGAGAGGTAAGAGAAGTTTTCTGCAGAGTCATCTCCACCTTGCTGTTACTGCTTCAGCTCACCACATTCCATTCTGTCTCAGAGACGGTGTGGCCGTATGGATCTCCAAGAGGCTTCCAGGAGGTGAAGGCCGAGGTGACAGAGGTACCTGCTCCTGACATCTCCGAGGACAGCACAGGTTTGAACTTGACATATTTTTTATTCTCTTTAAAAACCCACATGGGTGGGTTTGCACATTTGAGCCCATTTACTACACATCATACATACTTTAAATCACAGACGACCAGAGATTTACATGTAGTCTTACTACCATTTCAGGGCATCATTTCGTTTCCGTTCTTGTCTGTGCAGTGAGAAAATTTATTGCAGACTTGTTTAATCTTTTACAGTGATCAAGTCTGCATTATTCATTTTTATTTACTAATGTTTCATGATTAATGAAATACATTCAAAATGTTTGCCAGGCTTCAAGGAGTCATACAGTGCATTTTGGTGAGAGACAATGAAAATGGAGCTTTTGATAGTTTACAGGAAACCTCTACAGAGCACAGATCAAATATATGTGTATGAATGTGTCATGAAGGAGGTCCAAAGGCTAAAATTTGCAAGCACACTGCAATAATCCAGTCCTGCCAGCTCATAGCTTTTTCTCACTTACCCATTTCTCCCTCTGCACCCATCTGACCTGGCAAACATGACCCTCACCCCTCCCTGCCGGCAGCCTCAAAGCAAATACTGCTATTAATACTGCAGCATTTGGGGCAAGAACACCAGAGTCATGCCAATCCACAGGCATGAGGTTATTCCTGACATTCAGGTTTGTCTCATGAATGTGAAGGGAAAGCACCTCTGATGTCCTTCACAAGGTTAAACCATTCTCTGATGGGTTTCCTCAGATAAGTGGCTCTCTACAAGCTTTATTGCTTGGGCGATCACTGAAGGACACGTGTAGCCACCATGTGAAGTCATATAATCTCTGACGCCAAACAGAAGCTACATGGTAATAAGTGTATTTATAAAACATATTCCTATGTAACCTTAAATCCAGTGCTACATCCTGGACCTGAGAGCAAGGGTGTATTTTAGGAAGAGGTAAATATACAGCCTGCCTTATCATTTTCCCAGTAAGAGAAGCAGCGCAGAGCTCTATGGGCTGAGTCACAGCTGCTGCTCCAACGGTGATGACCAACAGAGATGGCAGGTAGCATCTCCACACCTGCTGTCGGTGTCTGTGATGACAAATGAGAACCGTGTCACACCCTGATCAGCTTGTGATTGCCTTTTTTTGTTGTTCCCCAGCCTTAGCACTAACCCGGCCAGTTGTCTCTGTAACCCAAGCCCTAGTCTCAACCACAGGCAGCGGTGCCAGGAAACATTACTGGAAGGGGTGTTGTGTTTAAATGTGTTCCCCTCTGTTAGAACTGTGTTTCCTGTAGAAACCCCCTCAGTGGTTAGGGTTAGAATAAGGTTAGGTTCAGGTTAAAGTACTCAGGGGAAACACGTCTCTTGACTGGGGAACACACTTTGATTCAACCCAAGACCATTCAGTAGAACACAGAAATCCACCATCATGTAGGGCCCAGGATTCAAAGCTCTTGCCAGGTCTAGCACACAGACCAGTTTTAATAGTCATGATCATATCAGATATTTGATTCTGATTGATCCAGCCTTTGAATCAGTGGTTACAATTATTAGTCTTCTGGTGTGTTCCCAATAATCAGATTGTGAATTTCTGCTAGTGTTCCCGGTATCACTCGGTTTCCTTCCCCCTCTCATATTTCCTCTTCTTCCTGCTCACAGGTTGTGGGGAACTGGTTTCAGTTGCTGAGCCGGTGACACATAGGAAGGCTGACAACATAGCCGGTAAATATGGTGTTTGGATGCAGGACCCTGAGGCTGTCTCCCCTTATGGACCTGATATGATCTGGCGCATTGACACCATTGGCACCGAGGTCAGGCAGGTGTTTGGGTATGAGGACATGGAACAACTCTCCAAAGGCTTTCCATCCAAGGTACGTGTCACATGGATGGTATTCAGTCACAGGAATTAGCCAAAAAAAATCAGAGGCCATTCATGGTTATTGTCTCATGTTTTCCTATGACAGGTGCTAATGTTGCCAGAGCTGGTGGAGAGCACTGGTGCTACTATGTACCGGGGCTCTCTTTACTATCAGAGACGTCGTAGCCGCACCCTGATCCGCTATGACCTTGCCTCTGAGACCATCGCAGCCCGCCGTGACCTCCCTCATGCCGGCTTCCATGGCCAGTATCCCTACTCCTGGGGAGGCTACACTGACATCGACTTGGCTGTGGACGAGCTGGGGCTGTGGGCCATTTACTCCACCAGTAAAGCAAAAGGAGCCATCGTGATCTCGCAGCTGGACCCGCACAATCTGGAGGTGAAGAAAAGCTGGGAGACAAACATCAGGAAGGCCTCGGTGGCCAACTCCTTCATCATCTGTGGCAAGTTGTACACTGTGTCCAGCTATTCGTCACCCACTACCACCATCAACTACATGTACAACACTGCAACCGGCCAGGGGAAGGCCATAGCCATCCCCTTTAAGAACAAGTACCTCTACAACAGCATGATCGACTATAACCTGGCACAGAGGAAGCTGTTTGCCTGGGACAACTACCACCTAGTGTCCTATGACCTTAGGATGAGTCGCAAGCAGGGTAACTAAGGCCAGCATGAGTGGTTGCTGTAAAGTGACATTTGCTCCCGGTCCTGCTTCAAAGACTCAGAGCTTTAGAGAAAAATAAGTGTGGTAACAGTAGATAAAATGCCAACACCATCAGTATCCAAGTGCAGAAGAGCATAACTATCAAACTCCAAAGTAAAATGAAGACATTTGAGGAGCAGTGCCTCCTGCGGGTCTGCTTTGTTCCTCACTGGGAGTGCTTTTGCTGTGGCAAGGTCCACAGATATGTTTTTAGAAAAATTATTTTTGTACTGCCTTCAGTTCAGATGTATGTTCTTGTTTTATGAAAAGCTATATAAAGTATATCTGAGGTCCGACAGATGAAGCGGTCATTATCAGCTAAGTGGGATAATTCATACATTTTACAACACAACGTCCCGTGGTACTTCACACCATGCAGTTTCACCAGTCAGCATCTTTTGTTAAACTGCTCTGTCACTCAGCATGTATTGAATATTGCATGTACTTTACACTGTAGTAATGTTCAATGTCATTGTGAAATAAACGTATTACTAAGTTATGAGTTTATATGGTTATTATACACCTCACGAGTATTGGTTCATCTTGTTTTTGAAGCTCTAACCAGTTTTATAGTTTTTGATGATCAACAAATCAGACGACTACTGTATTTGATGACAATTCCAGCGTTAGTGATGTAGAATTTTTCAGGAAAACTGAAAAATTCTCCAGTTTCAACAATTTTAAAACCTACTGGATTATTTACAGAAATGCAGTGTAATAGGTTAGAAGAGGGTTCACTCACAGAAAGCTGGCTACAGCTAATGGAGTCATTAATAATAGTCATCTCTAATTACCATATACTGGTGTAACTTTCAATAAATTAATTGCATCAGATCAGCTATAGCCCTGAACTGTCCATTAGAGGATCATGATGAATTAAAGAGCTACTTTAAAAGAAAATATATTGCAGAAGTTAAACACCTGTCAAAACTCAGTAATGTAAATATTGGTCTTATTAATGGCTAATAACTGATTAGAAAATTGCACAAATTAAACATTTGATTAGTGCTTAAAAAAAAAAATCCTAATAAAGCAATTTGTTACATTTTAAAACCAATCTAGAAAGGGTGGTGCCTCAGTGATGTGGTGTGCAAATTGACAGCAAGAAACATTTTCATCCAAGCCCTTAGAATTGCCATACAAATTTGGAAGGTGTTGCAGTGACACCAGGTGGTCAGGCATGTGCTGAATTGTGTAGAGCAGCATGAAATCTACAACAAATGACAGAAAATGTCAAGTAAAAATCAGGCATTACTGAAAAATCTCAACAGTATATTATTTTTATTAGTTTCTGTAACCAAACCGAGACTGTAAATAAGACCGTACATCTTTTAATACAGCGATGAAATCCCTGTACAACAAAAAAACAAAACAACAAATCACTACCCCCCTTCCTCACTCATCCTCCAAAGCAAGGACCCTCCTCTCCCAGCTAGGGTAGACGTGAGGAGAACCCTCCCCCACATCAGGGTGCATACTACTGTACATTTCTGAAGGAGCCTTGTCAACCTCGAGATGAGAGCACTGAGGGTGGGACAGCCAGCGGAGGTGGGGGCAAAGACAAAACAGCACTGATTGCTCTCATCGGTAAAGACAACAAAACAATAAATGTCCTTCTGCCCATAGACTTCAGAATGTGAGGCTTCTCATTTCATCTTTGTCCTCGTTCTGTCTTGTTCCCCTCATTGTGAGGGCTGGCATAGACACTCAAAACCTTTCTATTGTTTCAACGATCAACTCAGTATTTATGTCCCACTAACACAGCCCTGTCCTAGTATACTCTAGATAAGGGCACCAAAATCAGTCAATAGCAGCAGATCTGGATGCTTTACAGTGAAGTGTGTACATGTGTGGATTTGTGTGACAGTAAACATAGGCGTGAAAGCAGTGAAGGGGCATGAGACAGTTGCCTCAAAACTGAAACAGGTTTAAGTAGTGATCATGCATCATCCACGTAATCCTGCCAAGTCCACTCACAACTCTGCTGCCATAGCAACAGCAATCCTCAAAAGGCAGACATCTCCTCTTCATTGCTTCAACCTTTAGAGTCCAGCTACAAGCTTCCCCTGCTTATATGAACACACACACACACACACACACACACACACACACCCCCCCCCCCCCCTCAATAACTGTCAGGACGCCCCCCCCTCATATGAACACACACACACACACACACACACACACACACACCCCCCCCCCCACCCATCAGTAACTGTCAGGCAGGATATGAGATCAGAAGGCAGGAGCAAAGGCTCACAGGCAGACTAATCAATAACTCAATCATTAAAGTCAATCAAATGCTGTAATTTTCACATTTCCATTCTTGTAAAACAAAACAAACAGTCTGTCAGGTCTCTGTGGAGTAACTATGAATAAAAATTGTAGTGTGTGTAGACGTACACAAATCTGTGGATTAGTTATGCTGGGAAATTGGGCAACAGTGTGTGCATCACTACACGACATCTTTGAGATTGTTCTGACTACAAAAAGAGGTGACTGATTTTTCATTAAGACAGCTTCCTGCTATAAATATGCAGGATCCTTTTTGGGGAGGAAAAAAGTAAATTAACTGAAATCAAGAGCTACGAATATGGAAAACTCAGCAGCAAATCCAATTTCAATTTTCTCTCTCAACTCTCCTGATATCTGTCACAGCAGAGTTCTGCTGAACAACCTGTGCAGCCATTTTAAACACCATGGAAGAATCCAACTCAAATGCTGCCACCTATGGTGGGACAGGACAGGGGAAGAAAGAAGAGGGTTATGTATACGCAAGACAGCGCCAACAATCAGCAACCACTACTGTCTGGATCTCTCCTCATCTCATCCTCCCTGACACTGTCTCCAGGGCTGATATGAGATGGTGACAGAGTGAATGGGGCTAGATTCTCTCTTTCAACCATTTGGATCGTCGTCATCTGAAAAGGGTCAGCGGCCGTTTACTTGCCCTCTTCTGGTTTGATTGCCTGTGGTTTTATAGGGCCAGTCCGTATGGGCTTGGCTGTGGAGATGGGGGGTTTGTCAGAATCTGGACGGTCACTTCCTGCCTGGTGGTTTGGGGCCGAGGCGTCGAGTGGGGGCTTTCCTCCCTGATCAAGTCGAGATGCTTTGCTGACTTGTGGTGCCTTGAGTTGCTGCTGTTGCTCTGAGAAGAACTTGTGAGTGGACTGGAGCACCTCAGCCCGCTGCTTTGCCTGGAGGGGAATACAGCAAAAAAAGAAAAAAAAAAAAAGAAAAACATTTTAAAAAAAGATCATCTCATCACCTCCCTGGCCAGTTAAAGATGAACAGATTTCACAAGATACAGGGATAAGGTACCAGACCTTTAGGTCCTGTTCAGCCTTCAGAGCTGCCTGTGTGCCTCGAGGTGCAAGAGATGGGCCAGAAGGTCCTCGTGGAGGGTGCTGGGGCCGGGGATGAGGCATTAGACCACCACCCATATTGGGTGACATCGGAGGCCCCATTGCAGACCGCTGGACACCTCCAGCAAATGAGTTAGCGTGAGGAGGTCGAACCAGAGGAGAGACAATGTTGGGCTGAGACAGAATCTGAATGAAACGGAGCAAAGAGCAGAAATTAAATGGAGTTGCCTTTCACATTAATAACCAATTATATAAAGAATAAAAATGCAGCTTATGCAGTTGCTATTATACCTGTGGGTTGAACTGGCCAGGAAAGTGCTGAGTCATTCTCATGCCAGCGGAGCTGGGCTGAAACTGCTTCTGGTACATCATGCTGTTCATCTTACTGGACTGGGTGCTAGGAGAGGTGGAGCTGGCCCTGCAGACCGAGGACAGGGGAATGCTGAAATCACATATATTAGCGTATTAAAATGATCATTGACGGGTTGACCCCATTTCAGGGGTTTTCAACTGACTGTGGCCCAGGGACCACCATTCTGACTAAAACAACTTTAGGACCATTGTTGTGGGGTGGCTAGACCAGATGGGCACTGCTTTAATCCTGAAAGTCACCTTGTCTTTCTAAATTGTACATATTTGCATGAATCTGATTATTCATAAACAATAATTAATACAATGAAATGTGTTTAAAGTAAAAAAGTGATGCCCACACTGAAACTACATCAATTACTGCCTTGTCAGGGACCATCTGCCATATTTTCATGGACCACTGGTTGAAAACCCTTGCCATATTTGATAAATTATTCACTTGGGTCTTTGTAGGAATGAACAATCTTATAAATCACCATGACATGCATTAAAGATCAGTCATTTCTCAGGTTGCTGCTTGTGTATACAGTAACTTTTGAGTAGTACCTGTAAGGACTGGAGGTGGGTGTAGTGCTCCTGGCGCTTACAGGAGGGGTTCCAGGTTTCACATCCATCCCAGTGCCAAACATTTTCAAATCCATGTCCATCTGAAACATGTCAACAGAAAGAAGCAGTTACAGCTCCACTTCCTAAAATCCAAACTAGCCTGTTTATTCACACACACACACACACACACACACACACACACACACACACACACACGTACCTTGCTGGTGGGTGGCTGCATCATGTTGTGGCTAGGGCCCATGATACCTCGGTATGGCTGGGAGACCGGGGGTTGTCGGTTGATGTTTGGAGGCTGGGCCTGCGGGGGGGTGGGAGGCAGTGCCAGGAGGGGCTGGCCCCCACCCGAGCCAAAGTTTGGGAGGGACAGCTGGGAACCCGGTAGAGGGACTGTCACCTGGAGAGAGATCAGGGTATACAAAGATTGCATAGTAAGAAACAATCAATTAACTGATTCACCTGTTCATGAACTGATGGTAAATTGTGCCACTTTTTTCCCCACAGCACTAGAAATTGAACAAGTTTGGGTGTTTGACGACAAAAGAAGTTACACTAAGATCTATAAAAACACAGACTGCCTTATGTTTGCATGTAGCTTACCTGTTGCATTGCTGAACTAGGTGACTGAGTGTTGCTGTAGTAGCTACTCTGGCCGTGTTGTTGCACCTGCCCTGAGTACATGTTTGAATGCTGATTCATTCCCTGTCGAGCCTGTACCAAATACACACATCAGACAAATACATACATAAATTTAAAATACAGGTATCAGTCAAAATTATAAGGTGGAGTAAAAGATTTCCTGCGAGCATAGTGGTTACCTGCAGTAGGTGTGTGTCAATGAGCTGAGAGCCTCCCATGCCAGAGGGCTGGTTGAGCTGCGGCTCAAACAGAATGGGAATGTGCTGGGTAGAAGAGGGCTGCTGATAGGCCAGGTTGGACTGAGGCTTACCCAGCTCAGGTGCCTGTACGCCAGGGTAGCTATGCAGGGACGGACCTGACAACATCATGGAGGGCTGTGACAGGCTACTCTGCATGAATGCCTGCTGTGACCTGAGGGAGGAAAGAACAGGAGGTTCAGATGACAAGAACAATAGTACCTACTACTGGAGATGGCACTTGCCTTTCAGCTGTGCTTTGGAGCGCAGAACAGGATACCTGTCTTGTCATGTGTTACCTGTACGGCTGCAATGAGGAGCTGAAAAGGTCCTGTGGCTGGGAGACCGGAGGGCCAGTGCTGAGTCCTAGCTGAGCCTGGTGCGTGTGTTGGTGCTGCGGCTGACCTTGCAGTGGAGCATAGATAGGAATGGGAATCTGTTGCACCGCTGTCGGCTACAAGTTGGACAAACACAAACATGTGGTTTTACTTTCAACATTAAAACACTGCTGTAGTGCGTTTCTGACCTTGAGCAGAAAATTCTACCTGCGAGAGCCCGGGCTGGAAGCCTTGCTGCTGTGCCAGGGAGGGAGGAGCCAATCGTGGGTGGGGGGTGCTGAACAGGTGGCTAGTGTCCATGTAGAATGCTGGAATCTGAGCTGCAGAACCTGGACATACACACAAGTTATTATTAACAGACATGAACAGTTCCTGAAATATTACATCAACTATCAGGCCTAAAATAAAAATAAAAAACCAAACACGTTTTTTCCATTTCAATGCAACCAAAGTGTGACGTAGCTCTAGCATTGCACATCAGCACTATGTCTCTCACCTGCTGCAGACTGAGAGACATAAACCTGTGGGGTCTGTTGCTGCTGGGGCAGAAGGGGGGGCACACAGCCCAGTTGGGAGAAGCTGCTGCTACTACTGCTGCTACTGCTGGAGGAGGACAGACTTCCACCCTGTAGCTGCTGGGGCTTCACCTTACAGATGTTAGGGGGGTCAGTAGCCGTGGTGGTCTTGGTGCTGAGGGACGATGTTGTATAGGTACCAGAACCTGTTGTATAGGTACCAGAGTGGAGAACACTCAGTGAATACAAGGAATCATAGTGGATGCCTGAATTCTAATAAGCATAACAGGTAATGCCAAAACATAAAGATCACTACTTAGTGATCTTTATGTTTTGTAGTGTCAGCAGCTGAGGTAAACAAGGGGTCAACAAACAATATTGGAAGAGATGCACAGCAGATGTAACTGGGAGCTATGTTACCTGACAGTGAAGTGCTGGGAGTAACAGAAGCCACAGGAATCTGTGGCATGGAGGCTGAGGAGAAGGAGTATGAGGACGCACAGGAGGTGATGGGGGAAGAAGAGGAAGTGACTGGAGAATTCTTCTCCAAACTGGGTGAATTTTCCCATGCTTTACGAGCAGATTCCATCTAAGAAGGCAGAATAAAAAAATAAACTAGTACTTAGTTATGTTTTACTCACACTTTAGAGAACAATCTTTCTTATAGAAAGTAATGTTGCCTGGGGTGCTGTACTTCTATGTACCTTTAATGTAAGGTCAACAGTGGCAGGGGACACGGTGCTAAGGCTGGAACTCTGCTGTAGGGTCTCTCGTCTAGGAAGGGGCAACGAGTGGGGTAGTGCCACCTGAAATGACACAAATTAAAAAACATAAAGTACAAGCAGTCTTTAAAAAACAACAAGTGCTGAAGTCCATTTAGAAAATGTATTTTTCCAATATCAAACATGAGCTCCTCAAATTAAAAAGAAAGTTATATGACATTGTGTACAACTGTGAATGTGTGTACTCACATTGGCCACTAAACTCTCTTCCATTTTGTTCCCTCCTGTAGTAACACTGTCAGCCAATGATGAGGAAGGGGTGGTGTAGTCAGTGACTGACTCCTGAGAGAGAAAGATGTAAATTCAGTGTACACACAATCACTGGTAGCAGTACTCCATCTTTACTGTTCTTACCACAATAGCCCATTCTCGTTAAAGGACAATATCAGAGCCATCAGTTCATACATTTTCTCATTTTTATTTTATCTCTAGTTAAGACAGCCAGTGTTCAGTCCAGCCATAACCAAAACAACACAAACTAAGAAAAGAGCAGAGCCTAGCTGTGACAGTTATATACCTTTGAACTGCTGTTATACTCTGCTGAGGAGACTGTAATCATGCCCTCAATGTCTCCTCCCAGCTCTGGTACTGTGGTGTCACTGGTGGGAGGACTGGAGTCTGTGGCTCTGCTGACGCCTCCTCCAGCTACTCCTCCCTCCATGCCCTCACCGTCTCCTACACGTGCGTCTTTGGCCTTGCGGTTCTTTAGAGAGCGCTCTTTACCAATGGGACCTGGCTTGTACTCCTTGGTTTCCACAGGTTCCATTTCAGGAATCTTAGGGGGGAGGAGAAAAAACATCGTCATTTCACTGGGACGTTACAAAAGGAGTACTAAATCATGCTGTTTAAAAGTTTAAAACCAAGATTTCTCTGCAGCAGTTACCTTCTGCGTTTTGATTGGGCCTGCTCGAGGTTGTTTCTGTCTCTGTTCTTTGGGAGCAGGGAGTTTGTTTTCAGAGCCAGTTTCTAACAATGCTGGAACTCCATCACTGTCAGTGCTGCCTGCGGATGATGGTGCTCCAAACTGAATACTGTCTATTGCCAATTCTACACTGCCCTCTGATCCAGGCTTCACACCCTGAAACAAAGTGTTTTTCATGGTTTATTATGGGGCAAAACAACCACACAATCACAAACAAAAGATGACAGTCATATTTAATCTACCTCAGAGGAGACCGTGCCAGTGAAGGAGGTAAGAGGTTTGATCCAGGCACTCACTGAAGGCGGCTGGGGAGGGCTGATTGGACCAACTGGAACATACAGATTACAATTTTAGAACTAAAGCTGGCTGACATATTCACTCCTGCATCTGTAGTTATGTCGAAATACAGGAGTTGAGACATATGAGTTTTTGACCAGAACAGACTTCTTCACTCACGCTTCTTGACATCAGGAAGGACAGTGGAGCCTGCCATCTTGTTCTCCCACAGTTCTGTACCCAGAGTGCTGTGTGTCTGCGCAGGAGCAGGGGGGAGGCTCTTTGAGGTGAAGTCTACAGCAGCAGGTGGTATCGACGGAAGAGGAGCCACTGTGCCTTCCAGAGTCTGAGGGGAAGCAGATGGCTGAGAGGGCACAAGATGAGGATGCTGGGGGGCAGAAGTAGAGGCCTGCTGTTGGGCCTGGGGGGTGGTGGCAACAGGAGGCTGAGGCTGTGAGGCCTGTTGTTGGTGCTGTAACTGTTTTTTGGCAAATCTTGGTGGCAGCTTCCCTCCTCCCCCTCTGCTCTTCTCACCAGAGCCTTTTTTACCCCAATTCTGTAGGAACAATGACAATATTAATACTACAATCAAAGGGGTATGGGTCATTATGGCTCTCAGATCAACTATCTCACTTCCTACCTGGGTAGTCTGTTCTTCCTTTTTCCGTTTCTCCTCATCCTGCAGCCGTTTTTGTTGCTTGCGGGATACCACCTCTGTGAAGCCATCATCATTGGTGTTGGACTGTGGATCCTCTGTGGTGGTGACCTCTGGGTGGTCATCAATGATCACAACACCTACAGAGATGGGAGAAAGAGGGATGCAGGCTTTTACATTCAGTTTTCAGGCAATGAGTAGTTGGAGCCAGGTGTAGGTTCCTGGCTCTTCAGTAAAAACAAATGTGAGTTTAAATGTGTTTACATACTGGCATAATTGTTAAGGTCAAACTGTGAAAGAGCATTCTCTTTGGGCTTCTTGGCAGCCTGCTTGGCCTCATCTTTGCGACGGGCAGGCTGCTCTTTTGCTGACCTCTGGGCTGTTCCTCCAGGTGTTTGTGCTGTTGCCTCCGAGTTCTGCTGCGCTGCAGGGCTGTTTGACATGTTGGAGACAAAGAACAAAAGTCCCAGCAAGAGACACTATGTGACTCATCTTTATGTTGGTAGGAACAACTGTGTGATAGTACATGGGCTGGAGAAACTAAAAACTTTACAAGTAAATAATGTAGCCTGATGAAATGATATTTGTGCAAATAATTCTCTCATTTGCAAATTATACTTCTATTGCTTATTTTATTACCATCATCTGACTGAAGTAGAAGAGGATAAATAAGCAACTGAAGAGCAAATGTGCACAGAGTCAATACCAACATCTTACTGAGATATACAGATTATGCACCTGTGTTACTCAGTGTAATTAATCAGATAGAATACCCGACAAAAGGTTTACTGTGTGAATAAACATGCACCATTATTCTGCTACACATTGTTCATTAAGTCAGTTTCATTGTGCAAGTGTTAATGTAAATAATGTAAAATGACTTCAACCTCACCTTTTGCGGCTGGCTTTGGCCCCTCCCCTCCTCTCCCCCTTGCCCCCTGTGTAGCTCCGACCTGGTTTGGCTCCACTGTTGCCTCTACGATTCGGTCGTTCTGTAGGCCTCTGACTTGAGAAACTCCTCTTGACTACAGGACCTCCTTCACGTTTTGGAGTCACCCTTCCATCAGGAGGGCTTTTACTGGGGGTCAAAGAGCCCTGAGGTGGTGCAGGTGCTGAGGCAGAGGCACTGGCTCCTTCAGCAGTCGATTCAAGTGCTCCTTTCCTTTCTTCTCGCTCTCTCCTTTCATTAAAATCGCTGCTCTCCGAGGCAGTTTCCCATTCCTCATTGGCTTGATCTGAAGAGTTCTGGTTGGACAAGTCAGGAGATTTGGTACCAACTGCAGTGACAGCAGGGCTGCTGTTCTCAGGCAAAGGTGCTTCTATGGCAGATGGGAGGTCAGGTGCAGGCACAGTGGCTCCCACTTCTGCAGGCACTGTTACAGGGGTTCCTGGAGCTCTAGAGAGGGTTGGAGAGATGGAGACTGGGGTGGGTACAGAGCTAAAGGCAGCAGTAGCAGACACTGGAGGTAATGGGACAGGAGGACTTGGGGCTGTCTCTCCACTAGCCAACACTGCAGCCTCTCGTTCCTTCAAGCGCCTGAAGCGGGGTGGTTTATCTTGCCTGGGGGGGCGTGCTGGTCGGGATCTACGAGGCCTTTCTCTGCTACTCTGTGGAGCCCCATCCCCAAATTTCTTGCTCTCAGACTTAGCGAGCCGTCGGTCAGAGGGAGGATTGTTATATCTCAGTGTGGACTCTGTGTCCTCTGGCCTGAACGTCTCCATGGGCTTAGAGGGCCACTGAGAGGAGGAATCTCTGGCTGCTGGCCGCCTAGGAGGGCCGGGTCGTGGGCCTCCACGTTCCCTTGCTCCACCTCGTCTGCTGTATAATCCTCCTCTTCCTCGTCGAGACGGCTCCCCTTTCGGAAGGAATCCTGGCTTGGGTCTGCCATCATCATCCCCTCTAGATCCAACCTTATCCCCCATGTGAGGAGGTCCAAAGCCTGGCTTGTGGGTCCCAGACCGGCCCTCCCCAGGAAGCTCTCTTCTTAGTGGACGGCTAGGTTTGGTGCTCGGCTCACGGTCAGAGGGTCCAGTGTCACTGGCAGATTCCCGTCCACCTTCACTTTCAGAATCTGTGTCAGAACCACGGCGCCGTCTGCGTTTCGGTATAACTTCAAAGTCTGAGCTCTCACTGCGTGTTTCGCTTTCCTCCCTATTGCGAAAGGCAGCAGCACCTCCAGCAGAAGGCAAATCAGTGCGAGATCGAGGCTCTCTGTAAAGGTACTCAGCCCGGCTTCGACCACGACTCCCCCTGCCTCGTCCACTGTAGGTACCCCGGTAACTACGTCCTCTGGAGTAATACTCCCCTCGACCACGTCCTTTGAAACCTGAGTCAGCAGGCCACTCTTTCTCTCTGTCCTTGTCCATTTCCTTATCCCTCTCACGGTCCCTCTCTCGCTCCTCTCGTCGGTAGGCACGTGGAGGAAGACTGGACTCTTTTCTGGAAGGCAGTTTGGGTTCAGGATGTTTGTCATTGCCGGGCGGTTTGTCTACTTTCTCCTCCTGAGAGGAAGGGGTGTGAGCCCCAGACAAAGGCTGAGAGTCTCTGGCTCTCTGGTGGCCAGCTGGTGTTTCCTCAACCTCTGCAGATTCTCTCTTTCCTTCACCCTGAGGTCTGGAGCCCTCAGACACAGCAGCAGCTGCAGAAGGAGCTTTGGATGACTGCTCCTTTTTGGACCTGTCTCCTCTTTCCCCTCTCTCGTGACGCTTCTCTCTCTGTTCTCTTTGCTCCCTCTCTTCCTTCATGTCCCTTAAGACAGGCTTCTTTATAGGCCCAGACCTACGGACTGGTCTCTCTCCCACTGGTCCTTCTCTGCGACCAGCTCCTGATCTCCCACCCCAGCGTAGCTCAGCTTTTTGCTTGCTAGGGGCTGGCAAAAGCAGTTTGTCTTGTTTGTGTAATCCATCAGCAGGAGGTGTAGTCCTGTTGCTGGCCACTGCAGCCTGGGAATATAGTTCATTCTGGGGTTTATCATCAGTCTTTTCCCCTGTGTCCTGTAGATCTAACGATTTTGTTCCCAGGGGGAGCCCATCAAACCTGGGCTCATCCAGCTTGAGAGAGTGGCTGGAGCTCTGGGAGACAGTCCTTTGGAGCATAGCTTGACCAAGAGCCTCTACCTCTTCCCCACTGGGAAGGCCTGGCTCCTCAGGATCAAAGGTTGAACCTATGGGGACCCTGTCTAAAGGCCCAGACGCATCCTCTGGGCCTTGGGCAAACACTGACAGGGATTCTGTAGGGTCCCTGAAGAAGCTACTTTTACGAGCGTCAAGGGCACTATGGTCCTGGGGGTACATAGCTGGGAGACCCCTGTCCAGATCCAAAGCAGAGTCCATCCTGTAAAAAAGCAATTGTTACTGTGTCATGTGCAGGAAATAAATGGTTTTCTTGTGCTATTATTTAAGCATTTATTACCTTGACTCCTTGTTATCATCCCGCCCTTTAGGAGGAGTTACAGAAGGTAATGGCTCTGACTGCGGGTATGGGTCAGATCCCCATACCATCCGTGACTCTGAGGGCAAACCATGGTCACGAATTGGTCGGGTCAAGTGGTCAAAGGAATCAGAGCTGGAACTTGAGTTGTCACCAGGCTCTCTGCACACAACCTGCTTAGGAGGCATCCTCCCTGAAGAAGACAGTGTGACTTTGAACAGACTGTTTGGCATTGTTTACATACTCATAAGTTTTCAATTTCTACTCAACACATCTCCATACCCGGATGAATGTTAGTTGGCATGTCCATTGGAGGACGCCCTGACATCATGCGGGGGTCCATGTAGGACTGCATCATGAGCCAGCGGGGGTCAAACCCCATGGAGGCCAGATGCTGGTGGTGGGGACCCATGGGTTGATACATGGAGAGATGTTGCTGCTGTTGGGCACCTGGAACCCCTCCACCACCTGATGGGGATACAGAGCCCCCACTCTGCTGCTGCTGTTGCCACTGTTGCTGCTTCATCTGCTCCTACAAGGCCAAAGAGGAACAGTAACAAAGAAAGTATGTGATCAATAACGCTAGCTTTTTATTGGGAAGTACTGTGTTGAATAAAAGCATGGCTCAATGACTTATCAGCACACTCGGGAATCTATGAACACTATTTGTTTCACCCCAAGCGTTCGCAAATGTATGACAGCACCTTTGTCTAGGTGTTTGCAAACTGCAAAGTACTGAAGATATTAGTCCCAGTACACTAATGGGTATACTTGCACTTCTCATGGTATGATTAGATAATATGTGCACTGTGGAAAAGGTCTAAATAATCTCAAATGTTCTTTCTTGATATGCTAACTTAGTAACCAAACTATTGCTGCATTTCCACTATTTGAACCCAACAAGCAATACATCCTGTACTTCTCTTAACTATCACCAAGCATAACCTCCGGGGGTTTGACGCAGACCACCCTGCTTTGTTTTTCTCATTGCATTTTTTTTCCTCTGTCGGTCTGTGTTTAGAGGAGGGAGGGGCTGCACTCCTCTCACACATGCAGTCAGCTGTGTGTTTACACACAGTGCTTGCTGTGCTAATGCTTGAGGTGCGACGATGCAGACATTTAACAAATCACTGGCGACTGCTCCTTGTGCATGCACCCCTCCACTCACTCGGTCCTGGTACTTGATTTTAGTGTTACCTACCAAGGGGTGCTGAAATTTAGCTCCCGGAACGCAACTCCAAAGCAGGCACATTGTAGTGGAAACAAATGCAGAATCTGTGACGATCATTACTCGGTGCAACATGTTTCAGAAGGTTCTTATAATGGAAAAACCATTTAATTTATCATAAAGTCCCATTTAGGCTCACAGTTTCGAAGATAGTCCATTACTTGCTGACATATCACACAGTACAAATTTAGCCAGCAACATCTCAGCCATTAGTAACTGAATAAAAGTCAAATGTGGACACCCTTACCTGTTGTCTGAGGAAACGAGGGGGTAAAGACTTTTGAAACTGTTTGGAATAGCCTGAGGTGAGAGAGGGACGCATAGCAGCTGCTGATTCTCCTTCTAGCTGTGGGGGTACCACAGGGACTTCCTCACCACTGGGGGTGTCCATGTGAGACAGAGACAGGTGGGGCTTATCCACTGCATGAAGACAAAACCAGTATTGGCATCTGTGATTGAAAGAATGTCAGAAAACTTAAAAAAAGAAAAATGAAAAAAAAAGCTGTGAGCTGGCTCACCTTTGTTGTCTTCTATGGTGAAATAGTCTCGGATAGGTATTGTTGTCCTGTCAGTCTGGTTCTCCTCCATGAGGGGGCTGACCTCAGCCATGGAGCTCTCTCCCTCACTCTGAGCCTCTGGAGCTACAGCCACAGGTCTCTGGATAGGGGGGCTGGGCTGACGAGGCAAGTGAATCTCCTCCTCTGCAGTTGGTTCTATTCTCTCTCGTTCTCGCTTCATCCTATCCCTGTCTCGATCAACCCTCTCAGGTGGAGAAGCTTGCATGACTAAGGCCTGCGATTGTGAAACTGAAGGTACAGGACTAGATACAGGAGCAGGAGCTGATAAGGAGGCTTCCTCACGAGCAGCTCCTGCTTCATCACTGGCGGTCTGAACAGAGGCACATTTGCCTTCAGATGCCTGACGGTGTTTTTCATTGAGACGTTTAAGTTTTTCAGCACAAGCAGCAAGCCTCTGCTCTTCCATCCGTCGCTCCTCTTCCTCTCTCCTCCGTCTCGCTCGTTCTACAGCTTCAGAAACTTCTGAAGGTTTCTTGCGCTTCTGCCGCCAGGCTTCAGAGTCATCATCGGCACCGGGTGCCACTGTTGCCTGTGGTTTGCTCCCACGTGGCGCTGTGCTGCCAACAGAGTGACTGCCACCCTGGAGAACAAAACACAGATACAGATTAATCATCAGTCATAAGAGCAAACATAACGGAGTCCTGTGTAATGCATAGCCAATTTTACCTGGTAGTCATGTGCAGCAGCTGACTTGCTGTACTGCCCCGTACCACCGGGAGATGACGCTCTGGGATCTACACTGTCAGTCCATGACGTTTTATTGCCCCCATGGTCTTCAGACCCTTCCTTCCAGCCCTCCTGATTGTCTGGTGGCCGTGATCTTATACGCTCAACTTTACCCATCCATTCCCTGAAAATAACATTGGTATGCTTAAGTAAAAACAAAAAAAAAAAAATATCGAAAGTTGAATCATCACAGTTGGCAAGCTCTAACCTCCAATAAGCCCTAAGCTTCACCTCAATCTGAACATCAAACCCGAATGTTCACAGGATGCACAAAAATCCACTGATAACTTCTTTTATTTTTTTGAGTCATCTACTTGGTACTTCATAAATTATGTGGGAATGCTGCTATGCAATAGGCATTTGAATGTATAATTCTGGTATATTAAATCATACAGTGTGTTCTGTCTCCATTATATTTTGCCTCGATGTTTGAGTATCACCAAATTGTGCTATTTTGTCAAATTCATTGAGGATTTAAACCATACTACTAAAAAAAAAACACAACAAAAAAAAAAACCCAAACAAATTCACATAAGAACTTCGATTCATATTTTCTATGATTTTAAGTCGATTCGCAAATGATACAGATCAATTTTTGTGATATGTTAACAGAACAAAAAAAAGCCAGAACTCAACTGCGAAGCCAGTGCAGCACATGGATATCATATAGCGCACTTACAAGAGTGGTGTTGTAACAGTTCATTTTCATTTTCAGAGAAGGAATCATTTGAGTGGATGATAATGAGCTTTGAAAAATGAGTGTGAAGGATTGTGTGAATACTTTGTAGCCCATCAGCAAATGACATGACTGATGTTAGCAGAGCAGCAAACTTATTAACAAACAAGAGCAGCTGAGCAACACACACTGCAGCACTTCAGTCAAACCTGTTCTCCACAGCTGCAGACATAACACCAAGACAACTGAGCGCACCACTTTGTTCTCCTCCCCTTTACAACAAACTCAGCAGCTACCAAAAACCAGAGGTGAAACAAGTACTTGGATTGTTTACTGAAATAGCACTACCACAGTGTAAAAATACTTTAAGTCCTGCATTCAAAATAATACTCAAGTACAAAAGTATTGGCATCAAAATATAACCTACTCAAAGTACCAATAGTAAACATACTCTTTATGAATATTGGAACATTTACAGTAAATTATAATTACTGATGGATTATAATGTTCATCACATTTAATGGTGCAGCTGGTAAAGGTGGAGATAATTATAGTAACATTATGACCACTGGCAGGTGACATGAATAACACTGATTATCTCATTACAGTGGCCCCTGTCAGTGTGTGGGGTATATTAGGCAGCAAGTGAACAGTCAGTCCTCAAAGTTGATGTGTTGGAAGCAGGAAAAATGGGTAAGTGTAAGGATCTGAGTGACTTTGACAAGGACCAAACTGTGATGGTGAGATGACTGGGTCACACCATCTCCCACACTACAGGTCTTGGTGGGTGTTGTTGGTCTGCAGTGGTTAGTACCTACCAACAGTGTCTAAGGAAGGACAAATGGTGAACTGGAGACAGGGTCATGGACGCCCACGGCTCACTGATGATGAGGTTGATCTACTGTAGATTAAACTTTTAACTTCCATTTGTACTTCTCAAAAGATTAAAATTTATTTGAATCTTTGTTAAGATGGTTGAAAATGTGAAACACTGTCCATTGGTCTCTATGAAGAGAAAGAGTCAGGGGCTGTAGTGGTGATATCACACCTAGAGTGGGGAGGCTGATGAAATTGTCTAAAACATTCTAACTCGTCCTCACAGCCACAGTTTTCGTTCCTTTTACATAAGTTTATCAAAAACAAAAACAAACAAACAAAAAAAACATATGCACTGGATATCCTAGTCATAGAAAAGAGGACTTACTGCACTGTAGGAAACAAAAATTTAAATTTGGTAAACAAATGTCAGTAATATTATACCAGCAACATTCTTTGGTTAAACCGGTTAAATACAGAACAAAAATCTGTATCTCTCTGGTGGTTCTTTAATTGTGAAGCACAGAATCTCAATGGTGAATGCAAGTTTTGAAAAGTTAAGCTAAAAATACTCACCAGTTTTCTCCTTTGTCTTTAGCAGCTTGGTTCTCCTCATCGTCACTGAAGTTTAGTTTCTCAGTGTAGTCCACCTCCATCTGAGCTCCTGGATTGCAGAACAGACAGGATTAACAAAAGGTGGGACTATCTCCAATGAACCGTTAGTCCCAGGTGAACCTCATCTTCACCCAGGAAACACTTTAGTTCATAGATGAAGTATAGCTACTAACCTGCCCAGCCTTCATCAGCATCAGTGTCTAAGTTGTCCAGCTCCTTCAGTTCTGTTGGACTAACGATAGAGGGTCTATCTGGGTCTTGGAGCCAGGACTGAGGAGGGGGCTGCTGGGGTCGTGCTGAACGAGGCCCCCTAAACACCCAACAAGACGAATGGAGAGCAAGGTTCAATAAGCATCTCCATAAATATATAAGGTAATAAGATATGCAGGCAGTCGCATACAGTGACATATGCCAGATTTATAGAGAGGGACATATGCTAATGTTTTATGATGATCCGTTTATGATGATGCACTTTGTTTCTGTGTGATTTTATGACATCTTATCCTTTTAATCTTATTAGATTAGTTATTTATGACAAAAGAATCCAGAATGTGTTTGTGCACTGATGATAAACAAATCAAAAATATGTCTTATTTCACTTCGACCAAGTGTCCAGGGTTTAGCCACAACATGAACTCACTTTGCCCCATTTTGGGGTACAGGGTATCTGAAGTTTCCTTGGCCTGGGCCAAAAGACATCTGAGGATAGGCATGGAACATCTAAGACACAAAGACAACAATCATCATGCAGGGTAAATGCACTATAACTACGTAATGTAACTGATATCCTCATGTGGTCAGTCCACAGAAATAAAAAGTGACTTACATAAGGTGGCATCATGCTCCTGAAAGCAGGATCAAAATGAGTGGGCACCCCAGCAGGAGGCTGCTGACCCCCATTAAGTTTAGGCTGAGGAGGCCCAGAGGGGGGCAACCTCTCCTTGACATCCCTCTTTTCCCTCTGACCATCAGTCGTTACATTTCGGCCTGGCTCATCATCTTCTGCAGGTGGTGTGGCGGTACCAAGGCTCTTACTACCCTCCTCTGGAGCCCTCAGGGGCTCCATCTCAGGGGGGCTGGGTGCAGTGTTCAAATTCCTGCCTCCACCCTCACGCCAACTGCCAACATCTAACCGAGACAGAGGGAAAAGACATTTCTTGGTTGACTTTAATTACAGTCAGAGTTTGTGGTTCCTGAACACCTGGCAAACAGAAAGCAATCAGTAGAGACTGAATGATGTTTGCATTTGGGCATACTCTGAGGTCTGAGGCTGGGGCCTGGTCCATAAGGCTCCTCCTCTTGAGCATCCCCTTTTTCCACCTCACCAGCTGCCTGCAAGCTGGGAAACTCCTGGTGAAAATGGCTGCTCACACGAGGAGTGCCTGCACATTACAAGAACATTGTGATTACACAGAAATTAAAAGACTGAATATAATACAGCACATTATAGAGAAGAATTTAAAGGTTGTACAGAACCCTTTGTCCCAACCTGACATTTAGTTGAGATCACACAATCTGCATTCCACACAGACTGTAATGACTGAGTGCTGCAAATGCAATTGCTTTGTTTGGATACAGTACTAAATGCCCTGAGAAAAGTTTAAAACCTCCTACATAATTGCCAAGAAGGACTATGGCACAACAACATTGGTATTTACCGTCCAGTTGCGTCTGCTTGCTGTTGGCCCAGGAGCGGCTGCCCCCAGTAGAAAGCTCTTGTGACTGGTGCACTGCTGGTTTGTTCTGGGGTGGGGGGGTCTCCTGTTGCCTGTGGCACATAAAACAAGGCAAAGGTTCCAACAACACTTATTATGAAACATGAATGACAGACCCTCTTCCTCTAGCCTCTGTAGTTTATAACAAATACCTTCATTTAGAGGAGCACATTAACAAACAGGATTAGAGATGCACCGATCAATCAGCAGAGATCAGAAATGGCTGGTTTTCAGTATGATCAGTTGACTGGTGACCAGTTGATCACTCTGATTTCCAATTTTGTGCCGATCAGATTTAGAGGCACGACAGTCCAAGTCACACATGCAGTGTGTAGGATCTTGTGTGCACCTCAAGCGTGTCTGTACTGGGCGAAATGTTCACTCTCACATTGGAAGCGCTTGGTGTACAAACAGAGCACAGGGGAGGCTACAGAAACAGCTTGAGAAGAGAAACCTACATCCAAATCTCCAAAAAATAAGACATGAAATGCATACAGTGAGGAACAGAAGTATCTGAACACCGTGCGATTTTGCAAGTTCTCCCACTTAGAAATCATGGAGGGGTCTGAAATTCACATTGTAGGTGCATTCCTACTCTGAGAGACAAAATTAAAAAAAAAAAAAAAAATTTCAGGAAATCACATTATATGATTTTTAAAGAATTTATTTTTCTTGCACTGCTGAACATAAGTATTTGAACACCTGAGAAAATCAGTGTTAATATTTGGTACAGAAACCTTTGTTTGCAATTACAGAGGTCAAACGTTTCCTGTAGTTCTTGACCAGGTTTGCACACACTGCAACAGGGATTTTGGCCCACTCCTCCACACAGATCTCCTCTAGATCTGTCAGGTTTCGGGGCTGTCGCTGAGCAACGCAGAGTTTAAGCTCCCTCCAAAGATGTTCTATTGGATTGAGGTCTGGAGACTAGCTAGGCCACTCCAGAACCTTGATATGCTTCTTACAGAGCCACTCCTTGGTTATCCTGGCTGTGTGCTTCGGGTCGTTGTCATGTTGGAAGACCCAGCCATGACCCATCTTCAATGCTCTGGGTGAGGGAAGGAGGTTGTTGCTCAAAATCTCACAATAAATGGCCCCATTCATCCTCTCCTTAATACAGTGCAGACGTCCTGTCCCCTTCGCAGAAAAGCACCCCCAAAGCATGATGTTACCACCCCCATGCTTCACAGTAGGGATGGTGTTCTTGGGATGCAACTCATCCTTCTTTTTCCTCCAAACACGACGAGTGAAGTTTAGACCAAAAAGGTTCTACTTTGGTCTCATCTGACCACATGACTTTCTCCCATGCCTCCTCTGGATCATCCAGATGGTCTTTGGCAAACTTCAGACGGGCCTGGACATGTGATGACTTGAGCAGGGGAACCTTCCGTGCAATGCATGATTTGAAACCATGACGGCGTAGTGTTCTACCGACAGTGACCTTTGAAACTGTGGTCCCAGCTCTCTTCATGTCATTGACCAGCTCCTCCCTTGTAGTTCTGGGCTGATTCCTCACCTTTCTTATCATCAGTGATACCCCACGAGGTGAGATCTTGCATGGCGCCCCAGTCCGAGGGAGACTGAAAGTCATCTTTAACCTCTTCCTTTTTCTAACAATTGCTCCAACAGTTTATCTATTTTCACCAAGCCGCTTGGCAATTGCCCCGTAGCCCTTTCCTGTGGAGGTCCACAGTTTTGTCTCTGGTGTCTTTTGACAGCTCTTTGGTCTTGCCCATGGTAGTAGTTGGCGTCTGACTGACTGTGGGGTGGCCAGGTGTCTTTAAAGAGCTCAGACAGGTGCTACTAATTTAGATTAATGAGTGGAGTAGAGGTGGACTTTTTCAAGGCACAGTAACAGGTCTTTGAGAGCCAGAATTCTGGCTGTTTCTCATGTGTTCAAATACTTATGTTCAGCAGTACAAGACAAATAAATTCTTTAAAAATCATACAATGTGATTTGAGGAGAAATTTTTTTTTAATTCCATCTCTCAGAGTGGGAATGCACCTACAATGTGAATTTCAGACCCCTCCATGATTTCTAAGTGGGAGAACTTGCAAAGTCGCAGGGTGTTCAAATACTTCTGTTCCTCACTGTATAAATGTACAGTGTATTCAACCAGTGGTAAAACAGAAAATACAAACTACACACACACACTTCAAAAAGAACTGTGAGCTCAGTAGTAACAGACATTCTTCTGTTTCTATTACCTGTTGCACCTGCTTAAATTTGGACAAGTACAAATATTGCACTTAATTTTTAGTTAAGTTTGCAAAAAAAGTGAGGGAAACATGGAAATGTAAAACTTGAATACAATATTTAGTTTTACAATCAACATTTTCATTAAAAGTTACCAAACTGTGTATGCTGTCAATTACAGATCTTGGAAAGAAAAATTGGAATCAACAGGTCAGGAATTGGCCAAGAAAACTGCAATCAGTGCATCTCTAAAGAGGACTGTGCTTAGCTTGTATACAAGTTATTCAGCATACCTCTCGTCCCCTGCCTCAGTTCGGGATGCCCAGCCACTACCGTCTTTGGGGACAATGTTGACGTTGGGGTCGTTTCCCTTGTTCTCTGCCTTCAGGCTGGGCAGGTTGGCCGGAGGGGGCATGCGCCGGCTGACAGCAACTTTGCCCAGACTCTGGAGGCCATGTCTGGCAGCCACTGGAATGAAAAATATTTCACGAGTGAACAGCTAGATTAAGATTTGTTAAGAACTTCATTACTTAAAACTTATATTATACTGCCTTGATTCAATTAACACAAAGACAAGCTATGTACATTTGCTGCAAACACCCGGTCCACTCATTAGCTACTGTATAAAACAGTACACAAGACTATATGAAGACTACTTGCCTGCAGTTTTCTGGGTTTCCAGAGATTTGCCCTTGTAGGTGTTGAAGAGGCTAAGGGTTGCATACTTTGTTTTGCCATCCTTTGCCTTGGTGCTCTGCCCTGACTTCTCGGACATTTCGCTGGAAACTCATTGAGTCTGGTCCTTTGGCCTCGCACCCAGAACCAGTCTCCTATAGACCAAGGTGGAGAAAATAACAACAAAAGCTGCAAAATACTGAGATTTCTAACTTTATGATACCTTGAAAAAATATCTAGGGCTGCACCCAAAGAGTTAAGAGACATCGGCTGATGAGAAACTTTTAGTCAAGCGCGCGCGCGCGCGCGCACACACACACACGCACACACTTGTTTTTGTCACTTATGGGATCCCTACATAGACTTAAATTCATTTCCAGGACACTTACCCTAACCTTAACCAGAACGTCTACTTGCCTAACACTCAACCTATACCATAATCTAAACCAAAGCGTACACTTGCTTTAACCTTACACCCCATCGTTTTGATAAAATTTGCCAAACTATGTTGTGGGGACTAGCATCCGGTCCCACCCAAAGATAGTAACTCATGGATTTTGGGCTGCACAAGTATTGAAAAACAAGGCCACACACACTTTTCAGCCAGTGTGCATTACAATAGGAGGCAGCCCCAGTCTGGTAGTTTGTTGTCGTCTCTTCCTCATTTTGGTGTGCCAAGTAACAATTTGCTTCTCCTCATTGTGGTGTGCCAAGTAACAATTTGCTTCATACTTCGCCCTGTGGGTGGGTGGGTGGGTGATTCCCACTTCAAAAGTAATACACTGTTAAATACATGCAAATTGCAGAATGAAGAGAAAAGGGCAACATTCACTAGGACAAGCCACCTAAAGGTGAGATTTGCACTTTATTAGAAGTGTTTTCAAAAACACTGTGGTCTACTTTTACACAAGAAAAGACTAACAGCTGTGACAACGTGGCTGGTTTTGCATAGTCTAATGTTATGAGAGTCCCATTTGTTTACACTTCTCCATTAAAGTGTAACACACAGCTGTTTACTGATGGTTTCTGTGATATGCATCCATCCGAAGAGGACTAGGAAGCTTACAGGAATGCGCTGGGAAAGCACTTCAATGAGGAATCAAATATATTTTGCCATACTCTTCAGCAGTGCAAGCTGGCACACATCAAATGCACACTAACAACATGTGCTGTACTAAATTGATGGGAGATGCTTAGGCTTGGTAAACTAGGCTATAACCATGTCGCAAAAGGTTCAACAGCATTGAGCATTGTTTCAACAGAAATAAGAATGCTGCCCATCTCATTATTCCATCAAATCCATATGGAAGTCTGACACACACGGTCAATTTCAATATATGTTATTTAAATATTGCATCATATGCAGCTCTTATTTATTTTTAAATCCTTAGAAATATGTCCCTTTCACTCTTGAATTTAAATACTGATGTTAATGTGGTTGAAAATCACTGAAATTCATGCCGGTTGATTTTCTGACAGTTGTATATATTGCCAAAAAAGAAAAGGAAAAAGCATGAATAGTGGCAATGAGGAGCCAATTGACAAAATCATTAGTATTTCAGTGGCCATGTGTCCTTATATTTTATGTTGGTGGAATTTCCAACCAATCTTTGTACATTGAGTGTCTTGAAATGTAGTTGAAAATTAAAAATAAAAATCAAATTTAAAAGTGATTTCTTTCACCCTGCTCAAGATTACTGTAGTTGCTTTAATGCATTATTGTGCTTGCTTCTGCCCCAAAAAACATTTGTTAGCCAAATGAATATTTTCTTTAACATTACAAAATACATAAAAAAGAAAAGAAAAAAAAAAACTCTCACGATTTCCATCCTGAATTGCAGAAAACTAAAAATTCCACAGATTCCATTTGGGCCTGCTTATAACATATTCTCTTACTTCTGGGATCAATTCAACCTTATCCTGTTCCTCTCTTATTACACACAGTGGTTTGTTTTAGTGTGCATGTACATGTGCATGCACACTTTTATGAATATAAAATGTCTGTGGATCTGTGTATACAAGGGGGTGAGGTGCGCATGCATGTGTTTAGATATGTTTACATAAAAATCTGAAATTCTGTGCAAGCACAACAGCACTTAATTTACTAATTAAAGTATTTTCCTATCAACTGAATCTCTGCTGTCTGTTATTCCTTAGGCCTCTTGGTCATAAGAGGAATTACAGTTGGGTCAACAACAGGACAACACACAACAGTTTACTGGGCTATTCCAACCTCTTTATAAATGTCTGTGTATAAATCACTTGGGTAAGTTTCTGAATTAGTTGTGCTAGCACCTATTGTTAGCAGTGCTAACTCAGCACTGCTCTGTAGCATTGCTCAAGAGCAATGCAGTTTTCTGCCATTTTCTTTGCCAATCAAAACCTGTCCTAGAGGCTCTGTACTTGTCATTACATCATGGCCTGTCATTAGCTTAAAATTCAACAGGACCAAGATAGAGGACGAGACAGACAGCATTGTGAATGAATGAGAGGAGGCAGGGCTGTGTGCACTGCAGTTGTGTGTGTATAAACTCACTGTCAGAGAGAATAAGGCAAGAAAACACAGATGGTATCATGTATCAATACTACAGAAAATTAATACTGAAACCTTCAAATATGCAGAATTGGTGTATATACAAAAAAAAAAAAGATTTTTGAAAACACTACTGGGCACTGGAATGTTCACCAGCAAATTACACCTGGTGTTAACTACAGCTGAGCCTGGCAGTCAGTCAAAAATCCAGCTGGGTATGACTACAAGTGAGAGATTTAGTAGGCATTATACTGCTGTCCCTGGTAGGCTAGTGGTTAAGGTGCAGCGCACTCGCCGCTGCACCACGGGTTCGAATCAGGGTTGCGTCAGGAAGGGCATCCGGCGTAAAACGCGTGCCAAATGTCGACATCCGAGTCGTCAGTGTGACGATTCGCTGTGGCAACCCCTAAACGGGAAAAGCTGAAAGTGACATTCTATACTATTTTGTATGAGGTATAAAGCTTACCGGGGAAGGAGTAGGATTTAGGAAAGGTGGAAGAAGGTAAAAGAAGGTAAATTGGTGAACAGTTCCAAGCATGTTTGGGGCTGCAGAGTCATTTCTAAGTCACAGGGAGGTCATTTATTATTAATGGTGCAGTGGAACAGTGTCTGTGAGCATGTGTTGGGGGGGGAGCTGACAGCTCTGTCAACACTTTTGCAAAGGAATATTGAATTAAATGAAAGTCCCATCTTTTAAAAGCCTTGTTATAAAAGCCCAACCCATGACAGTAAAGTCAAGGTTTTATGTACACATTCCACCTTGCTCAAAAAAAAAAAAAAAAAGGTGCATTATCCCATTACTATTATCCAAAAAACAAACATCAAGGCAAGGTTGCCCTTTTTTTTCTTTAAATAAACTGAGCGCGTGCACTTCTCTTGCAAAAAGTCAAAAGGTTAGATGGATTCAATCAAGTGCACACTTAATGTGTGCAGAAACCCTGACATCAGAAGAATATGGGATGTATATGGATGTGCTGGGGGGGGGGTAACAAACAGGAAGAGGGAACAATGATAACAGGCCAAACTGACCAAATAACTACAGCCCTACTTTAAATGGAAGTATGTTAATATTAACTGTGGTATAAGTAGTGATGCTAGACTGATACTTTAGATGATTATGGGATACAGGTTTATGAAAGTCTTCTGCCATGAGGGGGAAAAAAAGCCTTAAAACTATGCATTGCCTGATTTTAACCATAAATATCACTTTGTTTTATTCTAGTTCTGTGCTTTTCAGATAGATGCTTGGTACTTCATCTGTGTTTGTTAAAAACAACAAAAAACCCACAACACTGGTATGCATATACGATGGGCCATTGCAGGCTACATTCTCTCTGAGATGGATTTTCTCCAACATTTTTTAGCTGTAGTACTTGATCACTGAAGGCTGAGCAGCAGTGGTGACACTTCAGCAAATACGCTCTCCTATTAGACAATGGTTCTTCCAAAAACAACACTGCCAGACACTACAGCTGGGCACACACTACAATCGATGTTCAAATTCTAAGTGTTGACAACACACGTTCTGACAAAGCACTGGTGCTAGTCTCCGGATTGTGGTGCTGTGATAAACTTACACACTTCAGAGTTCCATGCTTGTTGATTTGCGTACACTGTGTAGAGCAGAACGATTAGAAGGGGAAAAAATTTTTTTTAAAAATCTAGATGAAGCTGCTGTTGAAACTACTAAATTTGGCAGAACAGACCGATCGCAGCTCTGCAGGGACAATTTATGAGGAACTAACAAGTAAAACAATTGTATTCATCATAATAAATCAGTGATTCTAGTAGTATTTTGTCAGGTGCAGTAGTGATGCTTGAAAGGAGGTGGGGGTGATGTAGCAGGAACAGATCATTTCAAAAGTACTCTGTAATGTGCATCACTGCAGTGGGTCTACCCCACTGGTAGAACACCTCGACTCTCTTGGCTATCGAGTGTCTTTGCCTGAGACTCCCAAAAACATGATTTATATCAACATGTCCAATCCAAGTCCGAGTCTCATACTGTGACAATGTGCCATAAACCCTGACATCAGAAGAATATGGGATGTATATGGGTATGAGGAAACACAGATACCAGACCGACCAGCCCAAATGTGTACGACCCCACAAATTATTTTACCTGTTCAGCACAAATTACACAAGAGAACTCTGGAGAGGTGAGAGTCACCTGGGGATGAGCACATTCACACAGACAGGGTTAGTTCAGCAAACAATCCCTGATCACTTACTTTAGTAGTTCCACCTCTTAAACGAGATTCAGATTCAAGATTCAAAATGTCTGTCATATGCACAGTATGGAAACGTATTTCCCTGCACAATGAAATCCTTACTTTGCCGTCCACCCTGAATGCCAAACACCACAAGTGAAATATAAAGCGGATAAACAGTAGCACAAACTCTCTCTTAGGAAAACCACTAAAAGCGTTTTCAAGTGTAGGGTATTATAATTATGGCCATAATCATAATCACTTATTTTGGTCAATATTGAGATCATAACTAATGAGTCATGACTATAATACCCCAACTATCAGCACATATTCACCGAGGGCAAATGTGACCTTGGACTATGGCTGAACAACTTATCAAATTTTATTTTCAATTATGAATTTGACCTCTGACAATTACAAAAACAAAAGTAAATCAAGATAAAACTATTATTGTGCCACACTGCATTTCACAATGCTCTTGTTTTGTCTTGTTAGAAATCCAGTGCACCCCTTCAGTGTGAGCATTTTTTGCTCACATCAGAAGTGAAACACTTAATTCGAGTCGACAGCACCTAAGCTCATTACTGTATGTAAATTAAAACCTCCACAAGTAAAAAGTCGCTAACACCTGCTAAATGAACATTAACTCGCAGAAGCGCCAATTTCAGCTTTACCTGTGCTCTGTCATCCACCACCAGTTTGTACTAATCATGGCAAGCTTGTTAAGCTAATAGATACTTGTGATTAACAAGCTAAAATAAAAGATAACCATTTATCTTTAGAGAAGGAGATGGGTGAGGCTGTGAGCCCAGTAACCTGAGCACTTCTTTAGGTTATGACAGGCAAGACTGTTAACCTAAAGCAGCAAAGTTATTTTTAAAATATAAAAGTAATTTTCTCTGTCAATCACAATTAAGTAGATGAAAAATATTTGTCCATTTACTCATATTTAAAGTCACTGTTAGAATACTTTAAATAAATGCATATTTCCAAAGTCAATCATAGTAAATAGTCATGATTTCAATATTGACCAAAATAATCATGATTATGGCCATAATAATACCCTACACTTGACTACACTTTAAAGTGTTTTCCCCATGAGATTCAAAGAAGAGATTTATCAAGCACACATCAGCATCCCTGCCTCAATTTGCTCAGCCCAACCTCCAGGATGACCCTGTATCACAGTTCATCCATCAAGGCAAGTGCTTTCCTCTTCTCCAGCCAAATACAAAATAAACAAAATTAACATTTTAGTGTTTTTCCCTGGTAAGAAAAGGATTGTGTGCATGTTCATGTGTTAAGGTTTTTTTTAATTGAATAATGAAATCACAATGGTAATATTCCTTCCTGACGAGAAATTTAGCATCCTTTTTTATAATTCGTATGCGATTACTGTTCACATTAACTGCTGAATGAATGTTGCTTAAACACACTCAGAAGATGTCCAATATGGCTAGGTAAATACAAGCCTCATCTGAAGACCTAAATGAAGGTGAACACAAAAAAAGGTAGTGCCCCCAATATCACATCACAGCTGTCTTTTGCATAGTAGATCTACATCCAGGTTCAATCTACAGGTCGACTAGGATGAATTACCTGTGCTCATTGTACCCCACTCATTTACTTACAGTGGGCCATGGGACTTCCCTGTCTAATGTACCTGTGAATTTACAGAATGAGATGTCATGCAGAAAGCCTACTTGATGAGTGCTGAAAGGAGAGGCTTGTATTTCATTGTCGCTATAGGCTATAATTAGTTTACAGTCAAGAACTCTGGTCCAAAATATGTACAATAACAGTGGTTAGTATACTATGTTAGTCAACTTTAGGTATAATGGCCAAACCTACGCCAACATCATTAAGACTAAGGCTGTAATTTATATTGCTAAATGTACATAATGCATGGACTGGCCTTTAATATCAATCATGCTGTCACACCTCACAGACTACAAGCCCTTGCCAGTATAAAGATAAAATGTCATACATGCTGCTCATACTGATCCAGTATCTTCCACCTAATCTTCACTTTGATTAGTCAGTGCAGAGGACTTCTAGAATCTCTATTACTTTATATTGCCCAATGAACAAAATGCATGAAAAATTAAGCCATCAATACCAATGAGATGGTTTCCCTCAGGAGAAGTTGATAATTTCATTAAGCATACAAGAAGCTGGAAGATGGCTTCGTTTTCATAAATTTGATGCTGATGTACATGAGTCAAAGCTCAAATTAAAGATTTATTACTACAAATGCCAGTTTGAAATATACACATGGGAACACCTCAGGGGAGTAACCAAAACAGTGTATTAAACGCTACATATTAATTTTGTTCAAGTCACTTTATTGTAACGAAAACTGAGACATTGCCAACAATGCCCAATGAACATGACGAC